TGGTAAATGAAAACAGAGGAGGACGTAAAGGCTTGTGAATGCAAATGAGAAGAAATAAAAGGGTAAGTAGAGGTAAATGAGGGGTTCAGCCCCTCCTCCGCCTGGTCCTCACCATGTCCCGTGGGTTTCATTCTGACAAGGTCAACACCACCATCCACCATTCCCCGGCTGACAGCCAAACACATAAGAGCTGCCTATTGTTCTCCTGAGGGTCACAGTGACCCCCCCATCTTCTCTCTGAGATTAATCACCACAACTGCTTCTCCACAACATGAGCAGAGTTTCCAAAGGTGACTGAACATTAACTGGAAATTAAAAAGTTTACTTTTTTCAGCACATGTAATGATTCACATTGGAGCATGCAGGTCTTTTTTTTAAGAAAGTATATGCAGTCTTTTTTCAGATGTAAACATGATATTTTAATAAAGTTAATTTAAAAACTGACACGCGCCTTCTTAGGTTCTCGACAGCAGGACTCAACTGCGAACAATGCATTTTGCCACAGGCCTCGACAGGCTCATGACAAGACATGAAATCCCTTCATTCCAACTGTATTAGCTTAATACTTATTACCTTTTCCTGTGTGATTTATTACACAAAGTTTTAATTTGTCTGAGAACTGCTTCTTAAAGTGTGGTCACAGCAGCACCATCATTCATTTCAATTGGATGTATTTCCTGTTTTTTAATCTCGAGAAAGAGATTCTGCATTCCCATGTAGAGTTTGTAGTCAACAGGTCAAGATTTTGGCATCGGAAGTGTTCTGGTTTCCGGCTGTAGTCCGAGTAGTAGTGACTAATAATTATGTTTGAGCAGACTTTGGTTTAATGCAGGTAAACAGTCCGTGTGGAGAGCAAAAGAGGGAGAACACATTGGCCGAAATGCAATCTTGTAACCCACCGCCTATCGTCTGACGATGATTTTGATTGGTTTAAAATGAGCTTTTAAACTGGCTACTTGTGAAACAATCGCGTCATACACATTGTCCTTCAACTCTAACTCCTTTCTCGCATAATAAGTTGCGAAGCGGACTGTAAACAATGAGCAGTAAAAGGAAGTCTTGGCTCGGATATCTGCTGGCTTTCATCCATAAAGTATTTGGCATTTAATAGTATATAAAGATAATTAATGGGAGACAGGGTTGTTATTTTAGGGGTGTGTTGTAGTCAGTCGTTGCCAGTGGCCATTTACCAATAATAATTGCAACCATGATTCCATATTTTTACACTGTTTACGAGGCTAAAATCTGCACTGACAGGTCCAGAAGTCAAACTAGCTGGAAGTTCAGAACCCTCCTTCCCGTTCTCCAGTTTGCCGCCGTTTCATTGTGATCTCCTGAATCCGTTTGGCTGCGTCCTCCCCTGCATCCTGCTATCTGTTGAGCTGAATTTATCAGTGAACCAATACAGCTGTAATGTCACTGGTCTCTCTGAATGTCACAGACTGAATAAATGGTCCTCCATCGCTCCTATAATAAGATAATGAGATAATAGCACTTGTCTCTGAGAGGAGTGCTGAAGGGTGCTGACAGCGGGTAAAAGAAAAATGACACTCCCGTTCGGAGGAGTAGCGAAAGATGAAAAAGGTCAAGGGGAGAGGAACAAAAGAAACAAAGGAGGATAGAAATTGGATTTCCTAATGTACAGTTCTGTTCTGCAGGTGCGACGATCCTCGCTGAGATGAATTCCATTTCTTATCATCTCCTGTTGTTGTGCACTTTCAATTTCCTTTTCATTTGGATGATTTTCTCATGTTTCCGTGTTTCTCTTTCGTTCCGAATCTCTTCAGTGGCCGGTCCTCTCCCTGCAGGGCAGACTTGTCACATTTCTACACTGTTATACACAGTTTTGCTGGGGTCTACTGTAGGTCAACGCATCGTGTAACCAAAGTTAGACCTGGACATTGTGAAGACAATGTCCAGGTCTTTGACGAAGAGGTGTCTTATGAAGTGGTGTTGTTATAAAACCTCTAAAAATGGATTCTTCCAAATTTGTTATGCATTATTTTCTTGCTTTAAAAACATTTTTTAAAATCAGCTTAGAATATTATTTTTCTTTTCAATAAAAGTAAATAACATTCAATCCAAAACAAGTTATGTTGAACATTTAGACCCCTTAATCTACATTAGCAAAAGAAAGAATAAGTCAACAACAAGCCAGTAGTTGTATTTGTAAGGAGCAACTTCCTAGCATTGGTTTGTGGGATAAGGAAAACCTATTGAGAGATGAATTGAAAGCAAATATAATTGTATAACTGTGATGATGGAGACGTGGCCTCTTCAGAGTTAACAAATAAACAGCTTAAATCCGTTGATGTCTTATGGTCAGTTCTGTAATCTATTTAAACAGCTGCTCTAATTAATTAGAGCACATGAGCAGTTTGTTGGCTTGGTGAAGACACATCAGCACAGTCGGAATATCTGCAAATTAACGTTAAGCGTTTATATTCAGCTAATTCTAAAGTGTCAACAAACAATAAATCATATATTGTTGGTGGAAATCTGCAGCAGTACATGGCGATAGTATAGTATAGTATATTATATAGAGTGCTGCAGGAATGAGTCCTAAAATCAAGAAATTAGTTCATTTTTGCTTCTTCCAGTTCCAGTTAGTAATAAGTAAGTTCTAGGAGACAGGCTTATACCTGTACATGCAGCTTAACTGGGTATTATTTATAATCTTTTGTGGTGTGCGACAGCTACCTTGTTTTGCTTCTGTTTGTATTGTATTTGTTGTAACAATCTTTAATGCAGCTCTCTCTTGGAAAAGAGACTTTAATGTCAATGAGACTTTACCTGGTTCAGTAACGACAAACTGTGGCCGCTCTGACAAAATCCCCTCACAGCCCGCCTTCCACACAATGCATGCTGGGATTGCTCCAGCTCCCCACCAGCATGAAAAAGAAGTAGCTGGTTAAGAAAATCAATGAATGAATAAAAGAAGGTCACCATAGTAAATGAGGGAGCAGCCAGGCAGGTGGGTGGATGCAGCTCAGAACTTTGACCTGATGAGCAGCAGTGGAGTTAAATAAATGTAGAACCAGACAAACAAGAGAGGAGGGGATGTGCCAGGACAGCCGTCGTATGGCACATCCGTCATCCCCTTGTTAGCATCTTGGCATGCAAACACACGCACACACACACACACACACATACACACACACACACATACACACACACACACACACACACACACACACACACAAACACAGGCCAGACAGCTTGCTGGGCCAGATGGCCTCTTGGTGAGGAGCAGTAAGGAGCTGCACAGAAGGGTTGGGTTGATTCATGAACCATGACCTCCACACGTCCCTCCTCCTGACTCCGGAGAGCACGTGCATAAGAGTGATGGACAAAGATAAGATCAGTGTGTGTGTGTGTGTGTGTGTGTGTGTGTGTGTGTGTGTGTGGTGTGTGGGGGTGGAGTGGTTATTGTGGAGAGGGGATTATGCATACAGTGCACGTATGTGTGTGAGATTTGCTTTCAAACCAAGGGAATGGTGACAGGGGAGAAAAGTACAATGATCTACACTAATGCAGAGGGAATAGATGATTACAAGGTTCATAAAGAATTATTTAATGGCTCATTTTTTTATGTGTGTGTGAGAGTGTGTGTACAGATAAAGAGGAGCAGGTTGGAAATGTGGGTGTGGCGACAGTGGAGCCGATTCATCGCAGCTTGGCATGTGTGTAAGAGTGTGTGTGTTTCCTTTGTCCTGTCTTTCTTATTTACCAGTGACTGACGCACACGCACACAGTGACTAAACGTGAGAGTGTCATCAGAGCACAGTTGCATTATCTATTTTACTGTTGTTATTGGACTTTAAAGAGAGACTTAACATGTGCAGAGAAGGATCCAGGAGGTCAAACATATGAATGAACTTGTGTTTATAGTTTGCACAGCCACAGTGAGATCGGCACCACCAGTATTTTCTTTGCTAGTAGCTGCAGGACCAAGATGTATTGTACATTAGCTGCCTGTACATTAGCTGCCTGTAAAAATATTTAACATCTTAAATGTACGTCCCCTATGCTACTCAATGGAAATAAGGCAGACAATTATGGGTAAGTGCTCCATTTAGGAGAAAACAAATAGAGACAATTTAGTGAGGATCAAAGAGTGTCAAACGCATTCGTCTCAGTACTCCAATTAAAGCTCTGGCTTACAAAATGTTTGGCTTATATTGAAGATAAAATGTATTTTATATTTTTATATGTATGTATATACATATATATGTTTATTGAGGTGACATATAGCGCTTTTATTTAAAAAATGTATTTTTAAAAAAAGGTATTTTTCGTTTTATGAATCCTGTTTTTGTATAAATGTTGTTATGGATTTTGAGGTCTTTACCGTGATGACTTTGCTGCGTGTCAACTAGCATCAGAGAACCAAATGTCTAGAATTTGTTTTATATTAATTATTGCTAGTTTGTTTAATATTGCTTTGTGTTGAAGTGTTGCTGTTGCTTTAAAGAGAGTAACAGCAAGTGACGTGTTTTCTAGACTGTAGTTTAGATCACAATCCTATCTATATTATAAAGTGCATACAGTGTTATTAAAACAATGCAGAGTCTCGGCCTGTGAGAAGGGGTCCCAAGGATTTTGCTCTAGGCTAGGATCAGACGTAATCTGAGCATCCAGTGGTCATGATTACATAACCACCGCTTTAGAATAAGCCTCAAAGCTTCAATGGTTACACAGTAGGGAAGAGCCTTGATTCAGCCTCATCCACACGGTCTTACAGTCATATCTGACAGATCAATTCTATTGTTTCGAGGTCATGTGTATATATGTAATATTCTATCTTCCTCATATCAAGAGAAATGTCGGTAGTAGTGCCATGTCTAGGGCAAATATTTAAAGAATACGTTTTACTAGAATATAAAACTAAATATAATACTTACAAACTATTTAAGATGACTGAAGCTGCTCGAAAAATCCCACTTTTTTAAAAATGTAATTTAATCGTTATGTGTACTTCTTTCTGTGTGTCTCTGCAGTGCCAGATCTCCCAGGCCCTGAACGGGGTCTCCGACAAAGCTAAAGATGCCAAGGAGTTTCTGGTTCAACTCAAGAACATGCTGCAGCAGATACAGGTAACACCGCCGCATAACACCTGTGCATTTACCACTGTGTGAAATATACTGCTTACACATCTCTCAATCCCATATGTACAAGTGTAGATTAGAAGATGCCATGTCATGTCAAGATAGCTTGAAAAATGGAAATGGTTTTCTCAGCACTGACAAAGTATTGGTGTACTAGGACTAGGACTCGGACTTTGTAATAGAAGAGGCAGGCAGACGCAAATTCCCCCTCTAACATTAGCCTGATTAACATCAGCCTGCATACAGATAGTATGCTGATGTTCAGCAGGTGGAACTGGGACACACTTGTTGTTTATTTCTGCAAGTGGTTGTTTCAAAGCCTCAGGATTTCTTGGGTCTCAGGATCCCCATGAAGGTCTGGCTGTGTAAGATTGTACCAGAACCAGTATCCATGCCTGATCAGTTATACTCCACATGTAGAGGTTTTTTGCATAATTTGCATCAGCTTTGGTGTTTTTTCTAGACTAAATACATTTTGCTTTTGGGGTTGCTGGTAATGGGTAATAAGCTCCAAATAAATCAGTCACAGAGACACATTTGGACTCCTCACACTGAAGCATGGAGGCAAATCCACTGACTCACTGAACTAAAACAAACCATATCAGCCAAAGTATGGAGTGTGTGTGTTATGTTATGTGTGTGTATTTGTGTTATGTTATGTTATGTGTGTTTGGATGTGTTAGTTTTCCCTGTAGACAGCATTGCTGTGCAGCTGCATCTGCCAGTCATGCACACATTTTTACTAACATACACACATACACACACACACACACACACGCACACACACACACACACACACACACACACACAGATAGGAGTCAAATATTTAGACATTATACAGTATAAAACCCCCAAAACACTTACACAGTAGACTTTGGATGACACATTCTGACAGGGAGATTGTTTGTTGGATGCATTAGAGGCGTTAACAGTCATGTTGCAAAATGAAGAGGATTGCATTTAAATATATAGAAAAATCAAACTCTTTGCACTATTTTGCTCTGTCTGAGATGAGGGAGAGAGATGGATGGATAAAGAGGAGGAAAAATGTGGGAGTGACGTGAGGAATAAATACCTCCAGCACTCATCCTCTTATAGATCTGAACTGTGTCCCAGAGTGGAGGATGCGTGATTTGAAATCACTACTATCCAAAACCTTATCTCCTCATCATGTGGGCTCAGAGATGAAAATGCCCCCGTGGATCTTTTTTGTATTAAGTGCCAACTCTTGCATGGGACTGCACGCAGAGACATACAGTACGTTTTCTGATCTGACACATTTATGGTGAAGTTTTGGTCAGCTTCTGGCAAAAAAGATTACTTGGTTAGGTTCAGGGAAACATTATGGTTTGGGTTAAAATGACTGCTTAATAATAAATAATACATAATAAACATTTAGTTGAGGTCAGAGAATAACATTGACTGTCAAAGTGGTCTCATGACTGATGCTGTCGATCATCTTCAGAGGACAACATCTAGTGCAACACACCAGGGTTAAAGTATCAAGACAGCAGTGTGAAAATAACCCATTACAAGTAAAAGTATTTCTATCAATTTCTTATTTCAGGGAGAGTGCATACAACTACTAATTTTTGTAATCTTTTTTGCCCAATTAGAACAATTAGTAAAATATCTGAGCAGTTTAGAGGGGAACTCTCTCTTTTGCAGGGCTGCTAACAACTCGTAGACACACGTCTCGTAGACACACACAGTGCACACTTTTCCAGGTGCACTGTGCTTCATAAAGTGAACATTTCCTGCAGGTGTGCATACACACACAGTTTTGTGAGCTGTTTTATACAGCCAGATTGTAGCATCATGAGGAAAGTCCTTACATTTGGGCATGAACAGTATGTTGTATTTTCATGCTGTATGATATAAATGTGTGTCTTGAGGGAATGTAGTGGCAGATGGTAAATATGATGCAGGATGTATTTTTTGTGTATTGAAGTAACACTGTATAGTGTTAAACAATAATGTTTGTGTCATGAAAACAAAACATGGAACAAGATGTTCTTTGGGAAATAAACCGATCAGTAACAAACACAAAGCAGCTATTGTGGTCACAGTGTTGATTTATTGATTATTTCTACCTGAGAGCCCATAAGGAGGGTGACTTTGGGACGCCTTAAACTAGCTTCCTTTTGGCAAAACTGCCCAGATGACGTCTTTGTGATTTTTTTGCCCCATCTGATTGTGTGTTTGTGTGTTGCATCAGGAGAATGGCGTGGAGTTTGAAGCCTGCCTCGTGGCCCAGTGTGACTCTCTGATCGAGGCGCTCACCAGACAGAAAGCCAAACTGCTCACCAAAGTCGCCAAGGAGAAGGATTGCAAGCTAAAGGTGGGGCTGATTGATCCTTTTGTCAGTGTTTAGCAGCAAATCCACCCAACCTTTCAGGGAACCTTTCATCATGTACAAAGACACACTATAAATGCTGCAAACACCCACTCATCTTCATCGGTTCATTTCTTCACTGGCAAGTGAGAAATACACTTACCTTCCTTCCTTCTTTCCCTGCCTAAAGCGAGCAGCGTATTTGGATTTACTTGATGTTATAGTATTGAAATCTAGCTTTTGTTGGATATATAGGAATTACAGTGCGTTACTTTTTATAGGTAAGGCTACGAACAGTGTCTGAGAACAGCCTGTCAAAATAGTAAGAAGAGGACGGACATAACACTAATCCAAAAATCTCGTGTGAAATAACCAGCTCCATCTTAATTTTGAAAGATAATAACGAGTTCATCCAGTGAAGTAAGAAGCTGAAAAATATGATTTCAGTCTCACCCAAAGATTTCCAATACTTTCCTCTGTTAATCCACCGCTGGGGTTTTCCCAAGTCGTAGTGCATCACATGGAAGCCTGCCCAGCCTCAACGTGCCCGCCGACTGACTGACCGTCTGGCGGGTGGCGGGGGAGGAAGGGGGGGTGTTTGGATGGAGGCCCCACGGACAGCTGTTGTCATTATCTGCAGGCTGGGGATTGAGATTTAGCCAGAGGGCAAAGAGCTGGAGGCTGCATCGAAGCTGGAACAAGAGAACAATAGCTGTAGATGGCTGATAGATGCTTTTACATACAGTAAATACATATTTAGGACATTGTTTCTCTCTAACTGATAACATTACAGGCTGCTATTCATGTAAGAAATTAGACAATTAACGGTAAAAGCTCTATTGTATGCAGGCATCCAGCATTGATTTGCATTTGCAAGAAATTAAAGATTTAATAAAATGATAAAAGTAAGCTTTATTTGTATAGAACCTTTTAAAACAATGTTTCAAAGTTCTTTACAAGGAAAAACTAAATTAAAACAAATCACAACCACTATAAAATGAAATTAGATGAATGAAAGTACCGGTACTAAAAATACCGGCAAAAAAACAACAAAACACATAAAAAATGGTGGCACTGATAAAAAAATACCTAACACTGAATGATTTTGGGCTGTCATTAATACAATAGCTTTTAAAACAAAAGATGTCACTAATTCTGTAAACCTCAGATCTTCGGGTAGGGAGCTCCAGAGCCTTTAGTTTAAAAAACCTCTAATCACAATTGAATTCAAAATAATATTTCATTATATTTAACTGTTTTTTATGGTCATATGGTGCAAAAATAATTAACCAGGCTTTTTCCCACATTAGTTCTTGGTTCATCAGTTAGTCACACTAAACCCACAACTCAAAACAGATACAACTTTTCCATATATTATTAAGAGACTGAACACAGCTTGTGTTTGTTTTTGGACGACTTCAAAGTCGACACATCTTATTAGAGTTATGTAACTGCAGTTTCAAGAAAGCACAAATGTTTTTCATTTAATAGTGCTGGTGGACGGAGCAGGCTCTGAAAAGATGATCTGTTTCAGTGGATCTTCATATTTTCAGACTGTGAACTCACTCTTTGACCTCCTATTTTCCAAAAGCCTTTTAATCTGTATTTGTAGAAACAGTACAGCTTTTGTCAGACACAAAACAACAAATCATAAAAAATAAATAAAAATCTAAAGACTGTGTCTACACAAAGAAAGGCAGATGTTTCTAAAAATCACCAAAGCCAGAGGCTTAATCCCTTAAAAGCAATACATTTTGGTTTCCTCATTCCAAGAACAGACTGAGCGTTGGGAGTGTATATGTTGTTTGTAACAAATTCTAAAACTGAAACATTTTCAACTGATTTTACATTTTTGAAGTATTTACAAGCATCACTTTTGATGACAGTGTTGCAGTGTTTTTTTGTTTTTTTGTTTGTTTATTTAAACAAACAGTCATGTAACATGGAATGTGTGTGTCAGTGTTACTAACCTGTACTAGATGCACATATTTCTATATATCTATATATACCTGTGAGAACCTCATTAAAAAGAATGTATCCCCTTCAATAATAATTTGGCCTCGCCTCAACCATCGCTGTGGATGCTTGACTGTTGTTTGTAGCAGGATGTTAGGCAGGGCTGCCCTCAGCTTCCTATTCCTGAAAGGGGAACTCCACCAAGTTTTTACATCAGGGTCTTAGGTACAGGGGTTGGAAAGTACTACTGCATATGTGGAAACAATTTGTATAAAGCCTTTTGTAGCTCTTGCTGGAGCTGCAAAAAGTCTTATAAATTGCCTCAGGTGATGTCACCTGAGTCAGCGTTGGTTGGGTCTGAAGACTAAAAGTTTGGAAAAATGAAAAACATCTTAGGGCGTGGAGCTAGAATCATTATCATCATCTCCGTTTGAGACCAGAGGCTAGCTCCTAGTAGCATAACACTCACAAATCAACTGTCTGTGGTTGAGTTGCATTGTGGGTAATGGCGGCACTAACTTTTGACAAGGAGGAAGAATAAATGGGATAAAAACGATGATATCTCTGGTTCCTGCTGCTCAAATTGTGATTTATTTTGTCTGTCGTGAATCTGGAAATGTTCCAGGAGTGCAAAGCTAAATCAGTGGAGGTCTTAGGGAACCTAACGCCAATCCTACCTAAATCAAATTTATACCTTAACCCTCAAACAGACCAGGTAAAATATTCAAATTTCCCCCCAAATTCCTCACTTTTCAAAAACATACCCACATTCCAAAATGTCCTCACTCTAAAGGTATATAACTTTGTCCTCACAAAGATGCATGTTCAAGAGCACACGCACACAAGCACACACACACACACACGCATGCACACACGCACGCACGCACACACACACAACACAATGTAGTTTTAGCCATGATCCAGCGGCTGATGGATTAATATTCACTTCTCTCTGATGCATAAAAATGAGTGTGTGTATGAGTTCTACTATGAATGAGATTAGGCTTCATCCGATCTCAGTTATTGAAATCAGAAGCCAATTCTGTCATTTCTTTAAGATCACACCTGACAGTTTTATGCTGTTTCTTTAAATTTGACAATTGTTTTAGAAAATGCAAAACGAGAGGTTTTCTTACTTTGACTCTTGACTGCAGGAACATGAACTTTTAAAGCAATATTGCATGATGAGCATTTGTTTTCCTGTATTTTCTGTCTTTTCCTGCATTTTGTCATTTTCTACACCACTAAATACTGTAGCGCTCCATCATGGTTTTCTCTACAACACCATGCCATCGTAAAGACTGTGCACTTGCACCATGGACAATAACGACCCAAAATATTGCCCTAACCTGAACTGAAACGTGGTTCAGAGTGTGATGAAGAGACCGTGAGTCATGTCAGCAGTGTGTCTGGTATCCCAAATCGGAGTTTGCATTTACATGTTTTAGTATTCACACCCTCAAATTCATTTCAGATGCATGTGGAACATATTGATAGAGCCGTCAGGAGCACGTGGGAGGGAGCTGGCGGCACATCTCAGCGGGACAGGAGAAAATTGAAATAAATCTGAGATTTACCCAGGCTTCACGCTTCACACTTCATGTTGTTGACACAGGAGATAAGTGCGGGGTTCTATCCAACCTGAATATCACATTTTTTTTCTCCTGGTAAATAATTTAAGTGTGTGTATGTGTGTTTGTGTTTTGCTATTGGTGATATTTGCTATTTTCACACATCACAACCAAAAAAATCACTAATTCAATACACAAGATATGAATATTATTTGAAACTCAAAGCAAACCAAAAGACGAATAAAAGACAAACACAAGATATGAAGATATAATGAGTGGGTAAAGTTTATTTACTGTATATAGCACCTTTCTAGATCAGACATCAAAAAGTGCTTCATGACAAAAGAGAAAAGGAAGACATAGAACGAATAATAAGTAGAAAAATGGGAGATAAGAAAAAGACTAAAATAAATCAAACTTGGCAAATGCAAGTGTGAACAGGTGGGTTTCAAGCAACTGTTCACACAGTGATATAAGAGGTTGAACATTACCAAAAAAAAATGTCATGGCACAAGAATAGATTTAGGGTTTACTGTAAAATATATTCGACCAGTTTCCACCCGATATTTCTGCTGTTTGCTTCATCACACCCTCAGTTTCCGTACCTTGAAGCTCTCGATTGTTTTGATCCTCTTTCAGTTGACTCTCAGTTCATGCTCTTCATATTTCAGTTTATACAGCAGTTGACGGGTGAATAATTAACTGTGATCTCATTAACCATCAAATAAACGAGGGCCTAATTTCCAAGGCTCCGTCTAATTAACTCTCTGATTCCTTTAGGCGGCCATTGGTTCACGGTGTAATTAATTATCGTGGATTCACAAGGCATCACTAGATGTTTTCTGTCTAATTTTCCCTTGCTTTAACCTTTTAAAAGTTGCTGTATTTGTCGCGTACATATTTAAGTTCATTCTCAGTTCATATTAAATACATATATCTGTTAAGATAATTAAATACCACTGATCAGTTGAAATGTGGTGCAGGCATTATTAAATGTAAACAAAAGGCTAATAAGGCGGTGACAGTTCACTGCGTTTCAATTAGCCTCGAACGACTGGTTGTGACAACCGTCCAAATCTCATTTCCCTGCAGATTTCAGCCAGCAGATAGCATGTGATGTCTGTGTGTGTGTGTGTGTGTGTGTGTGTGTGTGTGTGTGTGTGAGACATTCAAAGATGGCTGATAACGGGACAGTGTACCAGGAATACTATGGGATTTTCTAAAGATGTCTTCCAAATATTGAATCATACAGTCCTGCCGTCTGTTTTGCCTGCCAGCCACTGACTCACCTGTTGTTCCAGCCAGTGCCAATCACCTGATCCGCACCGATCCGCACACCTGCTCCCCATTCCCTAATCACACTCTGAGTACATATAGCATCTTGCTGCCAATCCGGGCCTTTTTCTTGTGTTGGCTAAATTCCTGTATTTGTCACACATTAACACATTGCACTTTCACACTTTTATGCATTCTCCTGTTTTCTTTGTGGCATTGCTGAACGGCATGGGAAGGTTTTTGTGGCCTCCTAGTATATGCACCAGCCCTTTTCCACCTACTGTACACAATGTCAATCCAAGCCATAGCGTTTAAGTCTTTAGCCTGGGTTCAGTTTTTAGTTTCTTGACCTTTACCTGCTCTTTGGACAGTAAGCACTTTATCTTATGCCCCCTCTGCTTGGTCAGGCTACTTATTTGTGTTGGCTCACCTCCATTTGGTAGTGCTGGCATGCAGCTTTTTGGCGAGGGCGAGAAATCCTGGTTAATTGGAGCGAAGGAAGCAAAAGAGGCGGTCGGCGTGATGTTGAATCTCTATCATCTGATAATCAAACAGCAGCTGGTGGCAGAGATACTGTGAGAATCTTTAATTTAATATCTTAAGTGTTGGCAAAGACACCAGAGAATATTTTCTCCTTGGATTCAGTCATGCCGAGCTGTGTGAAAAATATTTTCATTAGCCTATTTGCGATGAGATATTAGAGCTGACCAGAACAAACTGGCACTGTCAAGTTTTTTAGTGCACCTATTTATCCCCTGTTGCAAACTGCCTCCCTCATCAAAGATGGCAATTTGCATTTGGGTACAGACTTAATGGTTACTGAGCCATTACGTACGGGAAAATCAGAATTCTCTGATGTCAGGGAATTTTACACGTAACACAAAATAAAACCAAATGCTCTCTCTGCACTTTAACATAAAACAAATTGTCACATTCGGGGTTCACGGTCTATTCGAGGTTTAAAATCATCGACAACATTACAGAAGCTCTGCTCTGTAACATAACTTTTAACATCTACTGTCTCTGATCTGTGTCTTTGTCTCAGGTGGTGCGTGACCAGATCACCCACTGCACCATGAAGCTACGTCAGACCACCGGCATGATGGAGTTCTGCCTGGAAGTCCTCAAAGAGAACGATCCCAGTGGATTCCTCCAGGTATCCGATCCAATGTGTGTGTGTGTGGGGGAGATTGCACAAGTGTAAGATCATGGCATATGCATGTCTCGCAAAGCAACAGGATAAAGAAACAATTTTATAGCGATGTCTTATGAATCCTATAAAAAAACAATAAACTAACGGCACCCTTCTCTTTTAAAACTACTCAAGTAAAGACTTAACTTTCAGAGATCACACACATGGCATACACAGTATGAGGTCTTACTACATTGAAAAAAATTTACTTTTATGAAGTATTTACAACCAAAATTTTAAATATAAAAGTTAAAAGGAAGAAGGAAGCAAGGAACTTAGTTCCTTTGAGCCTAAAGAGGAGAAATCAGCAGTGTAGGGAGCCTCTGATGTTTGTGAAGCGAGCACATCTAAAAACACTGCACAGTCTGAGGAGGAAGATTGAGAATAACAACACACACGCCTGCCTGCATTCACACACACACACACACACACACACACACACACACACACACACACACACACCCGCACACACACACCAGCACGAGAGCATCTGATTTGCTTAATACTGCAGCTGATCTATTTTTAATTGACCTAACATGTTTAGTCATCAGGAGGCTAAGATGCTTAGTGGCCGATCAATAGCTATTGATCCGTATATTGTCAGGTCAAACTGAGAAAGGTCAACTGTGACATGTGCACCTGCTTGAACGAAAGATGCGAGAGTTTAGGTTTAATGTTCTGTTTGGGGTCAGGAACACATTTTGACGGGACTCTTTAGGGAGCGCTTCCCCCTCCAAATCCCGAGATAAGTCTTTCTGGAATTCTCTTATTTGAGTTTTATACCAATCTTGGGTCTAACCCAGACACAAGGAACGTGACTCTGTACAATAATACGCGTCTTTGATTTTCTTCCATATCTTGCATGCATAGCATATAAGAAAATATGGTAATTTCCATATTTTTTCACCTTCATCAAATTTGCAAGGCAAGTTTGTGGCATCTGGAACGTTTACCAGCTCAATACTTTTCTAATATTCTTTTTGATGAGGTTATAAGGAAAGGTTAAAAAAGGGCTGTTTTGACAATTATTTAATTTGGTCACATATAGTACAGCTGTGGTGGATGTGCGACGCCTTAACAGCCAATATAAAATAAACCCAAGGGTTAAATGGTAAAGAAGAAGAAACCTTTCCTACAAAAAGTAAAGAATAAAACAACACATGGTCTTTTAGCCTTCTCCAACCATTGAAACCATCGTTTCAATTTCTATTGAATGGTATTAAATGGAATTCTAGTGTCTCTGCTTCTAATTCATTTCTCTTCCTGGAAAGAAAGCAAGAGAGAAATAGAATAAGGTGAAAGGGAGAGATGAAATAAAGATCAAAGAAACTTCTGAGGGACATACACACCCAC